GTGTTTTTCGTTGTGAAAGCGAAACTACTTTGTTTGGTCTTCCAAAAGAGGACGATATCCGCTTCGTCATGCCTAGAGCTGATCTGTGCTGGTCGCTGAGGGAATACATCAACTTAGTGCTGTGGATCGCCGGATAGGCTTTCACCGTGGTCGAAGCGGAGTCCAGCCCGGGGTTGTCACATGTGGTTGCCACTCCTTCGTCGGATCCGCCGGCCGCGCCGTTCTCAACCCCGCCGCCTCTGCTCACTCTAGCCCGGCCTCAGCTCACGCTAAGCCGGGGCTTCCGCTCACGCTAGCCCAGCCTTAGCTTACTCTAGCCCGGCCTCAGCTCACTCTATCCCGGCCTCAGCCTCGCTTTTTCAGACCGATGAGCTTTGTAAAAATCGAAGCGTTTCAAAAAGGCGGGGCATAGAGGAGAAACAATAATGTACAGTATGTATGTGGAAAAGTGTTTTTTTTACTTTAAACCACATAAACACATTTCATTACACCAAATACACAAAATACTGTTCTTTTTAGCAGCATCATATGATCCTTTAAGACTGGAGTAATGCCATCAACTTTGCCATCAGTAATTAATTACATTTTTAAATATATTAAAATAGAGAACAGTTGTTCTAAATTGTAATATTTCACAATAATGCTGTTTTTACTATTTTTTTTAATAGATTTATTATATCACCCATTTATCTGTCAATGGCCTCAGTATAAAAATTATTTCAGAACATCAGTTTAAATATTAGTTCATCCCTACATTAATTCCTATATTTATTCATGTATCAACTAGGGGTGCGCTGATCCGATATTCAGGATCGGTATCGCTCTGATACTGGCATTTTCTGCTGGATCGGGGTATCGGTCAGACGAGACCGATCCAAATCCGATATAGTGCGTATACTATTCTGTGTCATTATTAAGCCCCACGAAAGCCACATAAACATTATAAAGCACAATAAAGTTTTCGTGCGCTATATTCCAAGTGTTCTGAAGTCGTTCCATAGTTTAATGTAAGGTACAGATGAATATTTAGGTCAAGTTGACGTAAACTCTTCTCTCAGCTGCATCTGTCTGTCATCCTCCATTCATGTTCCTAATGTGATTAAACTCTCTCCAAGATGATTAAATGTTCCTAATGTTATACTTTATGTAAATTATAGATAAATGGTTTCGCATAAAAGGAATATCTTGCTGGAGTTTCGTGCTGTTTTTAATCGTGTAAATTTCTACTGGATATCTGGTTAGATCACAAGACTGGAGTAGAGAGCACTATGAATTGTTCGTCACGAGCACAGTAACTGAAATTTAAAACTGTTAAAAGAAAAGGCTCAATAAACTAACGCACATATTTAACGCA